AAAACAAGGGCCCGGTAACGACTTTCACCTTTGACAGTACAGACTTTTTCCGCGCACCTTTTTCCGTCTGGTCCGCCTGCGCGTCGGCGAGCGCTGCGAGTGTGGTCCAGCGGCGCGTGAGTGCGGCGATGGCTGCGGCCCGAGCCCGCGGGCCCGATCCCGCGCACGAGCGCGAACAAGCCGGCGGAGCAGCGCAACTGCTTGACGAGCGAAGCGCCCGCCGACCTCCAGGCCGAACACCACATGGAGCTCGGGGTAGTTGCGGCACTTGCGCGCTTAGGCTTGTTGCAATGCCAGTGCCGATCGCGCATGAGCCCCCGCGCGCGGGAGTCCATCTCGTTGGACGGGGCTGTCGATCGCGATCTGCGCGCCTCTCCAAAGTGGGAGGCCGTTCGCAACGACCTCGATTCTCCGGCTTTCCGTGGCGGGACAAGCCTTCCTCCAAGAGCAGGCGGAGGTGCTCGTTGGTCATGCCGGAGGGCCCTGCCGCGGAGCCACGGCGTGCACTGCGCAGGCAAGACAGCAATTCTGGTACAGGCACTAACACTGCCGGGCTTAGTGCATCAACTGGCACCTCGGGCCTGCGGCTGGGGTCGCGGAGTTCTGCGAGGGTGGTCTCGTCACCTGCCGCGAGCGGCTCGAGAGCTCGCCAAGGTGGACGAGTGCTTCGGCCCTCGCGGTTCACGGTGGAGGAGCATGCGGGGTGCGAGAAAGAAGAGTTTGCAACCTCGCACGACGGCATCAGGGCTCCGTTCCTCGACGGCTTGTTGGAGGCCCGTGCGGAGCGCAAGGCGGGACTCCCCGAAGTTGGGTTGGTGCAGCAACGTGAACGCTCGTCGCCTGAACTCAGCCTCGAGATCGACGCGATCGAGCGCCTCCAGGCCGAGCCGCATTCCAGCACTTGCTGCATCGATGCGTGTTTCGGCAACATTGCGGGGAGCGCGGGGCACAAACGCTTTTTGGGTTCAGGATGGTTCAGGCGCAGTGCCATGCGTCCCCGTCCGCCCCTCCGACCTCGGCGTCCCGCGACTCTTGGCCTCGCCGCGGGGCTGCGACAGCGCGCTCCGACACGGCGGGCGGCACGTCATCACCGGAGTAGGTCGCTGGCGGCAGCCGGGTCGTCCCCTGTGCGTTGCGTGTTGGCGGGCACAGGAGCGTCAACGGGAGCAGGATTAGGATCGGCAGCTGCGGGTGGCATGGTTGCGGGCTCCCGCGTCCGGAATTCGCTTTCGCTTTCGCTTTCGCTTTCGCTTTCGCTTTCGCTTTCGCCCGTCCGAGTCCAGTGCAAGACTACGGTCCTGTAAGGACATGGGGAATAGGGACACTTCANNATCATCTGCTTTGCGTTTCCATGCCCGGCTCTCGGCTACATGCATCCAACATTGCGTTTTTCAGGAACTCTGATTTGCAGAAAGTTCGTAGCTTATCATCTCATCGGGTCAGTGGGCGTCCTTGTCGGCACTTGGGTGTAGAAGAAAAGTTGTCATGCCAGTTCATCTCGGGATTCCATGTGACCACGCGTGCCACCCAACCATTTGTATGTGCAACTCGGACAGCGAAAGAATGCTGTTTTTTTGCTAAACGTCTTTTCCATGTTTCGACGGGGTGCTGACGCAAGGCCGCTGCCACCCGCGACTTCATGCGACTCATAGTCTCGTGCCAGCTCTCGTCTTGAATTCGAATCCAACCAACCATGGATCGCAGCATCCGCCTTTGAATGGAATCCAGTTTGGCCAATGTGTGCAAGCCGAACAGCATGGTCGGCGTCACGACCGGTCGAGCGCAGCAGCGAAAGCCAATCCGCCGAAAAGTTGCAAACAGACTTCTTGCGGGCCCGCTGTGATGTAACCATCGGCACACGTGAGGTGCCGGACGACCCATCCAAGGTGCACCTCCGCACCAGCGGGCAGCACCTCGGCAGCATCCGTCAAGGCACGGGGAACGGGGCCACCGCACCGGTTTGCAACGTCGCGCAGTGCCGCGAGCAGGCGGGGGAGCGGAACTGGCGCGGAGTGGCGCAACGCATCACACGCGTCGTCCCACCAGGGTCGGCAACGCGCGTCCGCGCGCCCTGCCTCAAAGAGACCAGAAGGCAGGCGACCACATGCCGCATGCAGGAGCGGTACGAACAGCCACGAGTTCGTGTCTGAGTCCTGGTGGCGGGCCAAGCTGCTGCCAGGCCACTGGGCCTCGCGGCGGACATTGGGGGTAGGGTCCTCAGTGCTACGAGTTGCGGTAGTGCAGGCCGTTGCAGGGAGTGACAGTAGAAGCCTTGCTCAGAGTAGGCACGCGCAAAGGGCCGCCTGCGCAGTTCGCAAAGCTGCGCTAAGGCTCGAAAAGACTGCGTTCGGCAAGGCGGCGAAGTGAAGAAGGCCGGTCCCGGTCTCTCCCAGCAGCTGACCGATCTATCGGTCTTATCGGGATCGCTTGGGCCAGGTCTCGGCTCCAGGTCAAGAATTTTCGACTGGGCCGGGTCGAACCGGCGCAGTGGCAAATAATTTCGGCCCGCATCCGGCAGATGACGCCCCCCGCTTTCAAAAGCCCTTGAGACCGCCCAGCTTCTTTTAAATTGTTCGCGAAGTTTATGCTTATCGACCTGAGGACAGTGCACGGCGTGGGCCAGCGCACAGTCGCATGCCGTGGATGAGGAAGCTACAGTGGACAATCTGCGCTCCATGTGAGCGTGACTCTGTGCAACAGTCACAACTCAGATGCCTGGAAGCGATGGATGCTCGGATTGCAAGAAGAACATGTTTGTCTCAAAGCATCACGGCTGACAGCCACGATAGGCGCGCTTGATTGAAGCGACCCTTGTGTAGATGGCAAGTCTCTGGATGACATGGGCATCATGCCTTGGCGCGGATGCTCCACGAAGGGACAGGTCTAAGGCAGGCTTCCGCTGTTGCCGGCATCACGTCAGATGTCTCTGCTTCGGTTTTTGGTTGTCGCCACTCTCTGGATGCAGCCACTCCAGACAGGGACACAAGGTGATGTTTCCGTATACTGCCGTCGTCTACTTTTTGGTGGCTGTGCCCTTGTTCTGCTTGTCGAGTCTACTTTGAGGCGGTTCTGCCCCTTGCGTACTTGTTTTGCGTATTCTTTGCTGGCCAGAAGACGAGGACGGCGAGATTGGGATGCTGTGCTTGAGCAGGCACCCGCCATTGTGCCAAACCCGATGTCCCGTAATTCTTGTACGAGAACATCTAGAATCTAGAACCACAGCCCCAACAGAACTGCAAACATCGAACATCTACATAGCAAAGGAGAGTGTCGAAGAGAAATAAAGAAACGGAGACGGAGCGAGAGACGGCAAACAAGAAGGAGAGACGGAGAGGAAGAGCAAATAAGCGGAGGCATGCGGCTTTTTTCTTCGCTTTCAAGCCTCACTCCAGTGGAACTTTCAGAAGGGTGCCAAATTCTGCAGCCCAGCTCACTGAAATTCTGGCATGCACCTGCAGAAGTTGTCAAGCCATCAGTAGCTGTGCTTTGCATCTTCCTTGGGGGGCTTACCCTTCCCTGACGCGTCAAGAACTGAGCTGGCGCGGCCGCATAGCGCGGAGCCTTGATTTGGCATACAGCCGTGCTCGGATTTAAGCGCAGTGTCACATGGCACAAGATGGCACGAGGACCGGGCCACGTAAATCCCGTTGTGCCTGCAGGGCAAAGTCTCAAAGTCTACTCCTCTGCGGCATTGGCCGAGAGACCGAGCTTCTGATCTTCTGGGAGCCAGCAGGAAGACATATAGAGCCCGGAGAATGTCAGAAGTTGTTTGGACAGGCCGTTTCGGTGGCTTGTTGTTGTTTAAGTGTTTGTGAAACGGTTTAAAACGTCAGGAGCTGTCTCACAATGTCCTGACAAATGGATTCAGGCTTTCCGCCAACAGTCTCCCAGCACATTCCAGCACCGTGACGCAGGCTTTCACGGCGTTCAAGATTCAGGCTACGTTGTGCTGCTGTTTCGCATGGTTTGACAGACAAGCAAGCACGGACAACTTCCAGGGAAGTCACAAATGCATTCATTCTCCGATGGAGAAATCTTGTCTAAGTGAGTTTCTTGCACAGTTTGCTTGCGAGCGCATCTTTACAGCCATCTTGCCACCTGGTACGAATCATGCGGACACTTGTTCTGTGTTGGAAGCCCTCCCGGCCGAACAGCATCGAGTCGCGTGCAAATCGTGCAAGTGTATGTGTGTGTGTGTGCGCAGCGACAGTACAATACAATGGCTTGCTTGCCACCACAATGCCACAACCGGTTCGCCAGTCAATCTTGAGCCGGGGCGGCCATGTTCCAGGATGGATGTAGATACCTTTCCCTTGAGGTACATGGAAAGCTCGCATGTCCTGCAGACTCGTAAATGCCACGACTTTATAACGGCAGGGTGAGATCCGTCGTCCTCCGGCTTGATGTCGTCTCCGGCCGATGCTGGGCCGAGACACACCGTGAATGGCACCGGTGTTCGCGGCCAAAACAACTGACCACCTAAGAAAGAACAGTCGCAAGATGTATGCGAGCACCTGAGAAGGCTGCGAGTCCATTGAAGCTCCAGGCCATCTGGGTGGTAGTCACTCATCCACAAGTATATGCAGCCTTGGATGCTTTTATTTTGATTCACGCGACGGCACAATCGATTCAATGAGAGGCTGGCTTGCGTCTGCTGGCTTGTCTGCCACTGCGTGCTCGGGCCTCTGCATTTCGAGCCACAGACTTGGCAAATGGGAGGATCCCATCAGGCCGGTCTCTGCTGTCTGCTAGCTTTACGGGCAATGCGTGGCTTTCAATCCCGACCTAAGCCTAAGAGACTTGCTTTTGGTATGTTGACATGCTTGTGGAAATATGAAATACGGTTCGAGGTCCTGCAGGCGAGCCACATGTCGTGCTGAACTATGGGCCCCCACCCCCCAGTGCAGTGCGCACAGGGCGGGTCTCCAGAAATAAGGACGCACTGTTAAAGAAGCAGAAAACGAAACAGGAAACGTAGAACAAAACCAAAGGACGGCTACCCACCTGCACCCACATCCACATCCACCCAACAAAACTACGTGTCGCCGGATGCCCCACAGGTGAAATGAAGAGTCCAACTGAGTTCAAGTGTCGTTACGCCAATATTGCGACTTCTTTACTTGTTTCACAAGCACCGCACGCTGTTCTGCCCTGTTAGAAGTCGTTCCCCCCGACGGCGTATATCTGCATCCGCTGACCACAACACTTGTAAACGAGAACTCTCACAAACTCACAAGAAGCAGATTTCGCAAGTGCTAGCAGACATGCAAAGGTTTGACTGAGCCTCGCTCAAGGCACCCAGGCCATCCAGGTACTTGTTGTTCGTTGTTGCAATGGCCAGATTCTGGCCATAGAAATAATCACCCTGCCAATTGATCGCAGGAATTTGCAGGAGAGAACGTGACATCAGGCTGTCATGCACACTGGCAACAAGTGATGACCAGGAGGCGAAGCCCACACGAACCGCACGTCGAGCATAGCATGTCCGATAGCCTGCTACAAATACCAACTGCCCGACCACCTTCCACTTCACCTCGAAGTCACCTTCCGTTGTTCCCGCCTTGTCTCGGATAGTGATGGACGGTGCTGGGGAATGCATGGTCAGGCCATGTCGAAAGCACGCAACATCTCGCCTCATCGCCGGTACCAGGATCCAAAGGGCGCCAGCCCGGTTGAGGCCACTGGGTGATCTCAAAAGTTTTTGCATCCACCGTGAAATCCTGTGTACTTCAACAGTTTTTGCATCCACCGTGAAATCCTGTGTACTTCAAGCGCATTCGGATCGAATGTCCTCCGGTCGATGAACCAACCTGCTCAGAGATGTGCAGAAGATAGCTAGGGCTCTGAATACTGCAACTCACAGTCTCCCGGCCTGCCCAAACCTGCGAGGGAAGCATCTGTAGCAACCTCCCGGGAAATCTCCCGAATGCGAAGACCTCTGCAGCGCTGCTCCCAGCTTCGATTTGACTTCAATCTCTCGGCCTGCTGGCAAAGTAGGACGCTGAAAGTTCTCCGAGTTGAACACAAATGATGGCTCGGCAGCCTTACGGCTGAGACGCTTCAAATCGCAGCAAGCACAGACTTGCTCGGCGATGAGAGGTTGACCTCACGGCTGTCTGCGGCCACCTCTGTGCCAGCCGTTGGTCGCTCTGAATTCCGAGCTTGCTGTACATCCTCTGAGAACGGCACGCTGGCCGCACGACGCACAAGTCTTCGAGCTTGTCTCATGTCTGAGGGTGTTGCCCGACAAAGTCCCCCTGCACTGTCTGCTTGCTGCCGCTGAACCCTTGTACGCGGCTTTATTGCATGACGAACGCTTCTGCCTGTGCCAAGGTTCTCCTTCTAATTATAGGCCGGACCATCCTGTTCTTGGAAATGTCCAGGGTGTCTACTATAGTCTCGTGTCTGTTTCACTTCTCTGTTGAGCCTGGAACGCTGGAATGAACAGCAAGTCGCCGATTCCTTGTTTCGCTTCTCAACAGAAAGCATGAACCGCCAAAGTCCCTTGTGCTAGATTTTGTCACCACTCCGAAACATGCATAGAATCGAGCTTCGGCAGCAGGATACTGACGACTCGCGACTGGCTTGCATGCTGGGTGTCACTGCAAACGGAGTGTAATCGCTCAGGATCGGAACCGTGCAACATGCAGTTGCCTCTGCATGCAAATCGGGAGAGTCGATCCGGCTGCTATGTACAGAAGTCAAGCAGGCTTCTTGGCATGCTTTCGCAGACCCAAGCAGCCACGCGTAAGGGTGCGATAGGGTCGAGATACCCATCTCTGCGAGATCACAAAATGATCACGCGGACCCTTGCAGAAGCCATTCACGTGGCACATTTGGAGTTGGCGACGTCATGCTTTGACCTGACTGTAGCATTCCCTTGCCAACCTCCGCCTGCACGTGCTACCAACCTCTGAACCTGATCTGAAGTCCGGTGTATGCACGAGCTGGAGAGCGGTCATCAACAAGAGAGAGGTCTGAAAGCTATCGCGAGTTCGACATAATGGTTCGCATAATCAAGCATGCTGGCAAGCTTTTCGCTAAAGAGCCCCGAGTCCATGGGAGTTCAAGCAATTCCCTCTTGGAAGGTGACGTCTGGCAAGGACTGCAAGGTAGTGAGCTGCTCCGCCGGGCGGAGATCCACTTCCAGGTAGGAAACATTGGCCTGAGCTCGGTGCAGATGGGGCGAAGCAAGACGTCGGAAGCTGAAGCCGAGAAGCGTCGCCGGCCATGACGGCCTGTCACTCGAGTGTTCATAAAGTTCCCTGCCCACCCCCCCTCCAGAGACCCCCCCAAATGCATATAATCTGTTGAAGCATGCGGTTGTGGCTCGAAAAAGGGCTATTGGGCGGTATGGGGACAGGGGAAGCCAAACGAAAGCCGGTCGTAATGGACGGCGAGTCCGAAGCTGCAATGAGCATGATTCCGAAGCTTCTGGCATCCTCAGTAGGAGCCCTTTACTGTTCAACAGGTCTTCGCTGCCCGCGATAGCGCCCTTTGTCAAAGGCTCCATCCCTCAATTGGCCTCGCTGGGCTCACCCCCCGAAACCAACTCCCATCCGCGAGCCCATGCTTTATTGAGCTTCGCTAGTGGGCTTGTTTTTTTGTTGAGTGGGTTTGTCTAGGCAACCCTATGAATTTGAAATGCTTCTTTCCTGAATTGTTTTCAACAGACGACACTTGCAGAGAGCTGTTTGCTTCACGTGCGCTTGGCCAACTGCCTGCTGTGAAGAAGCATTGTGTCAATAATCTCAAGCCTGGAGTAAATAAACAAATAAATAAGTATATATATATATATATATATATACGTATAGCTTGTATCACCACTGACATCAGNNNNGTGTGTGTGCGCGTGCGTGCGCGTGTGTGGGGCTGCCGACCTTTCAATGCCATCTGTTCCGTTCCAACGGTGGGGTGCAGGGCCATGCTCATACTCACGAACTCACGGAAACCCAAGCCTCTACCGAGTCCACCTGCTTCGCAGCCAGGTCTGCAAGAATCTGGCAGTCCGGTGCGAGAGCGTGATAGCAAAACGACGGTTGGGTGGCCAGCAGCTCAAAGCCGAGCTACCGCATGCAGCGCCCGCATCGACTCCACCGGCACGCGGCTCCCGATATACCTCCCAAGCAAGATGTGCAGCTGGAAGTCAGATATCACCATGACGGCCTGATATGTTGAACACAAAGACCGACAGTTTTGCTGAGCACGGCAGGAGAGACCTGTCACAGGCTACGCTGCTGCGTCTTTGCGTCGGACGCAGGCGGAGCATTTACCGCTCCTGGCCAGCACCCTTTGCGAAGAGCCGTGCCACCTGATAAAAAAGACACGGCAGCACCAGGCCCAACATGAGACTCTTAAGACTCTTGAGTGTTATGCCGTTATGCTTCAGGCTGCCGTTGCTTCCGAGGCAAGGCCGAGAGAACGTGCTGATTCTGAGATTGCCAAGCCTCGTTCAAGATATCCACAAAAAGCCCCACATCGGAGGGATCTGAGTGTATGGCTCCTGAGCTACATAGCAGCAGGCGGTTTGCCAAGGACGGCACACGAGCTTTGCTTTAAATGGGTATTCAGGCGTGTTCTGTCGGCACTTTGCAAAGCCCTTCTCAAGCAAAGTAGTCCATTGTCAGGATCCTGTCGGCGGGGATCATGTCAGGGACAATCGGGTGCACCGCTCAACGCATTGTGTGCTCGCACTGCGGCCTGGAGCTCGGGCTGTGGCAGCCAAAACCTCACATGACACCAGCGGCCCGCATGCGGCATTCTGTATCGCGATTTCTCTACTATCCAAAGTCTTATTGCGGCATGCTGGCAAGTGCCGGCAAGCAACAGTTCGCAGCAAAGACAAAACGCCTTGCTCTGGAATCGCTTCGAAAGCCTGCAGCTGATGTTTGTGGGAAAGTCTTGCATGCGAAGCCGCGAAGCCAATCTTCGAGCACTGACGCTGTCATTAGGCTTGGCCGGCAACGGACCAACACACTGACACTGGAGGAACGACTGAATCGTATGCTAGGTCGAGAAGTCGTCTTCCCCATAGCAGCAGTCGCCGCTGTCGTCGTGGTTCTTGTGGTAGTGGTGGTCATCGTGGTGGAAGTAGTAGTAGTCGTCGTCATCGTAGTAGTAGTAGCAGTAATAATAATAGTAGTAGTAGTAGGAGGAAGTGGCTGTAGCAGTAGTATAGGAATAGCTCAACAGTCTCATCATACGTCGTCGTAGTAGTAGCAGCAGTAGCACTTGTGGCAGTAGTAACAGCATCAGCAGCGGCAGTGGCAGTGGTGTGGCAGTAGTAGTGGTGGTGGTGGCGGTAGAAGTAGTCGCGTAGCAGGAGCAGTAGTGCTAGGAAGGAGGAGAAGACGAGTCTAATTGCTATGGGGCTCTGTTGTCACGACTTGTTATCCGCGTGGTCGTTGCATTTCGTTGCGTCAAGTTGGCGACCTTGAGTGAAGAACAAGCTGCTACCTCTGTGACCATGGTCTTGATCATGAAATGCACATGATTACCATGATGATTTCTCCTGGAGCTGGCACGTGTGAAGGTCCTCGGCGCTACTGGACTAGCAACTTTCAGGATCATACAGGTACCCAGCAACTTCTTTGGGGGTTCAGGCGTAACTTTGCTTCCATTCCAACTTACCAGCAAAACGTGCTTTTGGTTCTGTTTCGGGTTTGGGGTTTGGCGGCTGACATCAGCCAACATGCGTTTCGGCATGTCTTTCGCATGCTGGCGCAGCGAAATTACTCGCAAAAGCTGTATTGTAATACCTGAACTGAACAATGAATGCATAGATTCATAGATGAACACACACACACACACACACACGCACACACATCCAGGAATCATCAAACAAACGCGGGTAATCTAGGTTAGCACAGCCGCAAGCATGCGTTGAGATTTTGCTCGCACCAGCTTGACAGGACAGCTAGAAGCTAATGGGTGGGAATTTCTAAGACAGAAAAAATTGCGATGGAACACCAGATGCTTATGGGTTAGAAACCTGGTGCTCATGTTCAATCCGGGTTTGCTGGTGTCGCGTGGTTTTGCGATTTTCTGAGAACCAATCGATTCGATGCCTGATTCGGCCCCGGCTCCGCACTGCATTGTGCCACATTTTAACCCAGTCCGAAGCGCATTTTGCCGCACAGAGCCACAGCCCGTTGGCGCAGCTTTGCAGGCTCCTGTGGCAAAGTTCTCGCGGCACAGCAACATGTTCCGGCAGTATGCTCGTCCTCGGGACCAACCTTCATCTGCTGTAGGGTTCCAACAAACAGCTGCAGCCCGCACAGCCGCGCCTGGTGAAATTCTTCTGTGACATCAAAAGCCCTGGAATGCCCCCGGAGGCATGACAATTGCGGGCCTCCTGCTTGGAGATGTCTTCTTCTAGGCACACCAACGCTTTGTCCACGCAACTGAGGCGCACGTTGGCTGCACATTTCGGTTCTACATCCTGGATCTGTCAAGCTCCGAGGTCTCAGTTTCATGCCTGGAGCAGAGCTTCGCCAGCCTGATGCTGCCAAAGGTTTCGTGGGCCAGCTGTGTCATTGAGGCGCGGGCACTGCATCGTTTTTGAGAGCTGCAGCACGGTCTGCTGAAGCTGCACAGAGAAGCCAAAGTCTCAAAGACTCCTTGCAACTCGCCAGGCAGCGGCCTACAACATCTACAGTAGCTTCTTGCTAACTTCGGCCACATGTCGCGGCCCCAATGTCGTCTTCAGCGCCGAATGTCGTTTTCGCGGCCGAATTTCGTCTTCTCTGCGGCCGGAATTCGTGAATTTCGTCTTCAGGGCCGGCCAAACTCGTTTTCGGGACCGAATTTCGTCTTCAGGGCTGAATTTCGTCTTCAGGACCGAATTTCGTTTGCAGGGCCGAATTTCGTCTTCAGGGCCGAATTTCGTCTTCAGATAGGCATCCAGGAACCTATATATAAATGGCTGCCATGTTTCTTGCGTGCTGCGGATTGTCGTCTTCGGGACGAATTTCGTCTTCACGGCCGAATTTTGTCCTCAGTGTCCCCCAAATGCCCCAAACCGAATTTCGTCTGCAGCCGAATTTCGCTTCAGGGCCGAAGTTCGTCTTCAAATTGCGTCTCCATGCACAATTTGAGCTTCAGCTCCTTGTGAACAATTTCGTCTTCAAAAGCTTCGAAACTTCGTCGTCGGGGGGGCGGGGCGAAACCGGGACACAGTTTCCCGGGTCCCTGCATATTAAGATCCCTAAAAAGGGTCGGTTGTTTCTAAACCCAAAGCGCGAAGTTGCAATGATTCCCTAAATTCCTACGGCCAGTAGGGCCACTAGGCCTAAAGCCTCCGACTTCCACCCGAGCCCTTTTAGGACCCACCTTTCTGAGGCTCATTATAAGGATTCCTTTGTAGTCCCAACACAGGTACCTGTAAGCCCCGAACATTCCAAGCAAGACACCCAAATCCAAAGGCATAGACGCCCCAGCTTGCTACATCCCTAAAGCCGAAGCCTGAGCCCTAAACCCGAAGACCCGTAGAACCCATAGTATTCTCATGGCAACCCTTATAACAGCACCCTATAGAACTCATATCACTGTAGTACTTAAACCTGGTGAGCCGACCTAGTAACCCTTAAGCCCAAGAGCCTAAAAACACCTTTTAATCCCAAATCCCTAAACCCTAATCCTGAAACCCGAATCCCTAATAATCCCTACCTTAAGAACCCAAAGCCCACTTGTTTGTTATAAACCCTAATATGGGACTTATAGGGACCCTACCAAAAAGTAGGTTTTGGGGTTCTTAAAGTAAACCCTAAACCCCTAAACCCTAAACCCTAAACCCTCAACCCTAAACCCTCAACCCTAAACCCTAAACCCTAAACCCCAAACCCCTAACCCTAAACCTGCTTAAGCCTAAAGCCGATGGGGAAGAGAAGGACCTGACCTTCCAGAACCCTTCTGCGAAGATGGCGCATTTCTTCGGGATGCGTGTTGAAGACCTCAAGGACCTTCTCAGGGTTTAGGATTGGTTTAGGGTTCAGGGTTTAGGGTTTAGGGTTCAGGGTTCCGTGTCTAGGCTTTAGGTTTCAGGGTTCCGTGTTTTGGGTTTAGGGATTAAGGCTTCAGGGTTTTGGGTTTACTGGGTTCTGATAAAACTTGCTATGGTTCATATTCGGTTCCCTCTCTTTTCTGAAGGATGTACTATTGGGATCTGAACAGGTAATAAGCACTATAGCTAGCTATGGTGACGTCCCGGTGTAGTGCCGAAGCAAGTATATGGTAACAACAATATACCCCAGCTCCTGCGTGCATTGTAAGGCCCTACATGTACTGGGCGTTAGGGCAGGTCCGTGGAGAAGCTTCGCTTTAAACCCTGAACCCTATACCCCAATTCCTAAAGACGGAAGCCCCACACCTAAAGCCCACCAAACCTTGAACCCTAAACCCTAAACCCTAAACCCTAAACCCTAAACCCTAAACCCTAAACCCTAGCCTTACCCCCTGTAAACCCTAAGACTTACACATCTGGCTCGGGGCCCGAGTTTTTTGGGGCTAAGGGCTGGTCTTTGGGTTTAGACTTAGAGCTTACTATAAGAGTTACTATACTTTAAAGGTTACCATACGGGTTCTGTAAGGCTTGCTACTATAAGACTATAACGGGTTCAGGATGCAGAGTTTAAGCTTTTGGGGCTTGGGGTTTAGGGCTTCAGGCATGCTCTGTGGGGCTTGTTCTCAGATTCGGTGGCCTCTTCTATTCCGATATACGAGTCTACCGTCCAGAACAACCACCCTAAACCCCAAGCCCTAAACCCTAAAACCCAAAACCCTAAACCCGTAAACCCTCAACCCTAAACCCGAAACCCTAAACCGTAAGCGGTTAGGCCGTGCACCTGAAGTAGGATCCTAAAGCCTCCTCGCAGGACAAATGCATCCTTGACATCCTTTCCTCTGCGGACCAGGATGGGTCCGGGGGTTTTAGAGGTCAGGATTTAGACTTTCCGGGTCCGAGTTGATTTAGGGCTTTTGGCTTTGGGGTTCAGGGTTTTAGGGTTTTGGGTTTTTTTTTGCTGCAAGGGCCTCAACCCTAAACCCTAAACCGTTGGGAAGGAGTTGGGAAGGCTGAGGGTTTGCCAAAGTCTGTTGGGATTCAAACGATGGGGTCTGAGGTTGGAGTCCCTCTGCCTCAGGGGTCGGATCGATTACTAGTGCTATCCTTTCAGGTTCGTTATTGTATATCCCGGAATCATACTCAAAATTATTATTATTATTATTATTATTATTATTGTTGTTGTTGCTATAATTGCTGCAACGGTGTCGCCCGTTTACTCTATCAATGGGTTGTCTGGCAAATCCTGTTTCGGGCATATGGGCATTGCCACAACGAGGTAATGTAGCGTGCTGGTAATCTATCGAATGATTAGTGATAGCATCCCCCTGTATTCCCCATATACCGACGCCCGTACTCTAATGCGTCCCAACACCCAGATTGATTGTTCAGGCCCCTGTATTGCACGCTTTGACTGACATTGGTTTAGGGTTTCGTGGTTTTGGCTTTTGGGCTTCATTAAACTATGCCTTCATGTCATAGGGAAAAGACAGTAGCCTACTGCACAAATAAATATGCTGGCTTCTCGAACAAGCTAGCTGTTGAACCACAAATAGCCACGCCCCAATCGGCGAAACTCTACAACAGGCCTTTGTCGATGCTCCATTATTATTGCAAGTGCAACTTTATTGTAGATGAGAGCAGATTCCTTCCCGTCCTTCCCTTGGTGTCTGCCGAACACCAAGTAAGGGTCCAGCCTTTGGTTCCCCAGTAGTACCCTTTTGCCCTTCTTCCTTTTGGGCTCCCGTATTAAAACCGAATAGCAGGAAAAAGGCTACACTTACTATTCGGGGGCGACTGGAGAACCTAGAATCCACTAAACCCCTCAACCTACTGAATACGGCCTTACTAAGTTCTGGTCTGGTAACTTCAGGGTTTGGGTTTAGGGCTACCTTCGGGTTCAGGCATATAGTATACTATATGGGCACGTGGACTCTTACGGGTTCTGGCGCGCTGAGTGTCAGAACTTCCTTGGCCTCGCTTTGCTATGAAGTGGTTCGGTTTTCAGTTTTCCAAACCCTGTAACGGTGTCCTTGCTGGCTACAATTTTACAAGTTTGTTACCATATAACCCAATAAGGATTAAACATGATCACGTTTTCTATGGCCCCAACAGGGAACCAGATAAACTCAAGGCCGTGAACTGAAGATGGCAGGAACGACTTCAGACGGTGGTCACTGCGTCCGTACAGCGGCTCCAAGAAGAGAACAGGCTTGGCTAGGAACCCAAGAAGGACACAAGCATAAGCTTTTTTATAGGGATATCCTTACCTTATTGGGCTTCATTATAAGGTGCTTTATATGGGATATCCCTATCCTAATGTTTGCTTGTGTGCTTTTTGGGGGGCCCTACTTGGGGTTCAGTGGATCAGGGAGAGAGGCCGCTGTGGTTTGGCGTGAAGGTTGAATCGTTTCATATTAGGGGCCTAAGTAATTACCAATACTGTTTTGCGTCTCCTTAGTATAACTATAGTATAATGGGCCTCGAAACCCTATTCTAATTATTATTATTATTGTTATTATTATTAAGGCTCCTATATCAGGTTTGGAGCTTCCTGGTGCCAGGGGTTCAGCTTCTTGGGCCTGGCTTTCTGGACCCCCACCTCTGACATGTGGGTAGTTTTCCAAATTAGGGTCCTTTTCTGAATCCCCAATATGGTACGGCACCCTTATAAAAAGGACCCTAAAAGGGACCCTAATTTGGAGAACTACCCATGTACCTGTTTGCACACACACACACACACACCGGCCATGGCTGGACGTTGCCGTCCCCTGTCTTGGTTTACGTTGCCATCCGGCCTCCCGAGTTCTCCTTGCACAGCTGAACTGTGGATAAATTTAAGGCGGGATCCCTCAATCCCCAAACTTCAAACCCTACCTGCAAGGAAAAGGTCACAAAAAGGGTAGTCTTGAGTACCAGTAGTGATGTTGACTATATATATATATATAAACGTATGCATATCTACATATAAATACACACATGACAAACACATAAATCTGCATACATATATATATATATATATACATGCACATGATTTCATGTGCTATCAGAATACCAGCAGTCACAGATATACTCTTGCTGCAGGTCTCGCGGGGTTCCTCCTTCATATGCGGCTTGCACCTGGGGGTTATTGGTGATTGCTTTGGAAACACGTTTAACTTTTTCCCAAAATTCAAACCCTAAACCCTCAACACCCAGCTCCCAGAAGCCCTCACACCTACTTGCCCAAAGCCCGAAACCCTGAAGCCAAAACCCTACAACCCAAAAGACGAACACCCTAAACCTTGCAAAAGCATATAGAACTCGATATAAATACTTTCAAAACCCTCAAGCCAACACCTAAACATAACCCCAGATCCTATAAAGTCTACACCCAAGCCACCACACCAAACCCCAACCCTAAACCGTCTATACTTAACCCCAAAAACCCTCAGACCCTA